ATTGATCAGATTTAGTTCATGAATAATTTAAGTTTTGTTATATTTAAAAAAATAAGAATAATTTGCAATATATTTTCGATTATCATTCCATTCCTTATGAGAATCCAGAATTTACAACTTTTTTGTTAAACATGATTGTAGAAGATTTGTTGGATTTCGAATTTTCGTATAAATAATATATTTTAGAATAAAATAAAGCTTACGAGTTAGCTTAAGGTGATTTGGTTCAAGATGGACTTATGAAACTAATAAGCGGCAATTGCAAAAAAAATTAAATTTTAAATTTTAGGCCAACTGTTAGCAGGTCTATCAGACTCCAACTAGGGTCGGACAGTGACAAATAATGGTTATCAATATTGCCGATTCCTCCATTTAAACACATATCAATTAGGAAACATCTGGTAACGCGCCATTTTGGCTTTTAAAACTTTATGAAAACTATGTTCGGTAGGATCTAACAGATAAGAGCAACGCGAAGTTGTCAGTAAGTGTTTATTAGCTTTTACGAAAATACGCGGTTCAGTTTAAAAGCCTGATATAGGCTCGCGGATCGCGTTTTTTTTTGTGACATGCAACCAAAGGGCTAGGGCCTATATTAGATAATGACAAATGCTATACTTTATTAAATATCAAACTCATTATATTTCGGTAAAAACAGATACTCAGGGCTGCAAGAACAGAAAATTTTTTTTTACATAGAAAATAAAATGGCGTTTCGCCAGCTGATTTGTTTTCGGCTACACATCAAAGCGCATTTTAATGATATAAATCGTAAGTCAAGGTAAATTATATATTATGGTTAGGCTAATTTCGGATTTATTTCTTCCTTATTTATATATATAGAAAATCCTTCATTTTTTAATATGCTTCTGTGTTTTGTCGTAACTTCGGTCTAGTGTTGCTAAACGACTCGTTTTGAGCCGGTTTTTAAAAAAATGGCTAACTCAATATTTTAAGATAAAATATTACGCGAGCCATAATATTTCGCTCATAGATGGCACAAAGGTTTGAAACATCTGTTAACGAAATCTCTTAAGCTTAGACATTATTTTTCTAGCTATAAGATATCGAGTTAGCCGTTTTCGAAAAATCGGCTCAAATCGAGCCGTTTAACGACACTCTTCGGTCCATATATATAAAATGTTTGTTTTTTTTTAAAAATATATTTGCATTATTCTTTCTTTTTTTCGTCCCCTTTTATGAACAAAATTATAATCCAAATTCATCAATAATTTATAAAAATTAAAACAAATTTTGACTTTACAAAATCTTATAAATATTTAAGCTAAAACTTAGTTAGTATATATATATATATATATATTTTTTTTTTAAATATTTTACTTTTGAATATTTTTTTTTTAAAAAAAAGTATATAATATAATACTTAAAAAAAAAATTTTTTTACGATGTCTTTTTTAAAAATGAAAGTCAACTCAAAATTCCTTGGAAATGGAAATATAGAAATTATTACTAAAAATAAGAAGTTATTTAGGAAGTTGTTGTACTCTAATATTCAAATAAAGAAAGAAATTAATCATTGTTCACTTATGGGAACATTTAAAGTAATCTTTATAATATTAAACCTTGTAAGTAAACTGGGAAAAATGTGTGATCGAGACACCAGATCGGAATCTACTTAGATAACCGTTATCCGTCAATCCGATTTTTACTTAAAAAAAATATATTATCCGACATTTTGATATATCGGATCGGTTAGTAACGATATCTGTTAATAGCCGGTGTTCTTAAATCACGAATAACCATAAGTTATGCCTCACTAGTATGCGGTGGAGGTGGACAATATCAAAAAAAATCTCCATTTATTTATCTATTTCCTTCAAAAAAAAATTTTTTTTTTAATTAAATTTTTTTTTTGTTTTTATACGCACCAATTCTTTATCTTTTCTCAAAAAAAATTTGCAGATTTTTTTTATTAATTTTTTTTTTCTGAACAAAAATTTTGTCATTTTTTAAAGCAATTTTAAAAATATTTGTTTAATTTTGGGTTTTTTAAATCTCGTCTCTGTAACTATTAGAATAATAGATAATATTGCACCACTCCTCAAATTTAAAATTATTAAATTTTAATTTAAAATATCACGATTTTTAATATACCTTATAATTATTTAATATATATAATATGTTAGCGTCGTCAATGTGTTTTTTCCGGCAATGTGTTATTTTTTCAACTTTGAATCCTTTTTTTGGGAGCGTTTTTAAAATATATGTTTGGAATACCTACCCTATGAATTTCAGACAATTTATCTAAGAACTTTTACTTAAATATTAATTTTATAGTTTTTTTCCATATATTTTTTATATAAATTATAGTGTTGTTAAATTACCTAACTTTGACCATCTCTATTGTGTCTTCTTAGTAAAGCTTTTAGACTAAAAAAAATTGAATTTAGCTTCTGAGTTGAGTCTCAACTTGAAGATCGATTAGAATATTTTTTGGATAAAGATATGGGCAACGCTGTTTTATAGTTGACTAAAGATAAGGTAGTTTAACAACACTAATAAATTATATATGACTAAAAAGTTATCGGTAAAAAATTATCTTTACAATTCATAAGATAAGTATTTCAAACATGATAGAATATATTTCCGGTAAAAATCCGATTTTTAAATTTAAAAAATACGCACCCAAAAAATGATTTGGTCTGCGAATGTCGAAATTTTTTGGCGGTCCGGTCGAATTTTAGTTCTCGCCCTGACCAAGCTTGTATCCGGCCTTACCCGCTTCCATCTTTTTACCAAAGTTCCCGAGCCCGTTTTTCTTTTTTAAGAAAAAATTCAGGCCTGGTAAGGTTTCGCGATTTCCTTATTAAAACAAATAAACACAAAAAAAAATGTAGGAAAAGGAAATAGGTATTTAATGAATGAATGATCGTAAATACCAGGTCCATTAATTTAATCATTTAAAAATTATAATTAATTAAAAATTTTATTATTTTAACTATAGAATAAAAATATATTTCTCTTTTATCTATTAAAAGGGTCGAGCATAACTACTTCCCCCCCAGGCTCAAATCTATTATTTTTTTTAATGTTACCCTTCCCATATGGGCCAAGCTCTTTAAAATTGAGCAAGTTGGAATATTATATAATGTATCGTTTTAACTTCCTTCATTGAGCCAAATTTTTAAAAGCCGGGCCGTGTAATGGGTCCCTTGGATCTATTATTTTTTAAACTATTATCCGTAGGTGCTCGTCATTAAGTCTAATAGTTATACATAGAGTCGTTAGAATATAAGGTTCGACTTATAGGTGCGTGCTATGGGAAAAAAAATCCGCCACGCCTCAAGGTTGATTTTTTTTGCCCCGCTTTTCTAGAACACCTTTAAGGTTCGAAATTATAACAACCTAGTAACCATAACTAGAGTCGGGTTGCACCCGGGTTCGAAAGGGGAACGGAAAAATATTCTGAAATGGAAATTTAGGATATCATTTTGACCAAATGTTATTTATCAATTATTTATAAAATATTTTGTTACAATTTTTTTTATATAACATTTTTTTATATATATATATTATATATTATAAATAATGCATGTAAAAATTGTATTAATAAAATTTAAATTTTTATAAATTAAAGCTCCCCTATAAATTTATTGGTTTTTAAAGGTAATAAATAAACTAATAATGTTTTTTTTTAAATTTTCTCCTTTTGAAGTAAAACGCCGAAATAAATATAATTTTTATTTAATTTATCCAATTTCCCAATATTTTACAGGTGTATTGTTATATAGATTTCGTTAATTGTTGTTACTTTATATACACTATATTTTAATATAAAAAATAATAATTTTAAATTCAGAATCATTGAGAATGAAAGAAAAGAAAAGAAGGAAAATAAAGAAATAAATAAAATAAAATAAAGTAAGAAAATAAAATAAGAAAGAAAATAAAGTAATGAAATTTATCAAAGTAAAAAGTAAGTAGATGCCAGAAAAATAATTTAAGAAAGAAAATAAAATTAGAAAGAAAGAAGGAAAAAAAGGTAGACAAATATATATAAAAAAATGAATTAAAAATAATAGAAAGTAATAAATTAGGTATATAAAGATCATTTGGCTACCTATAAATTATATCGATTGATTCTACACTTCCCACATGTCTCGCTTATATTTTTTTACATTCTTTTCTTTTTAAAAAATAATATTTTTATTTATCATCTTTATTTTATTTTAAAAAAATTAATAATTTATTGGTAGTAAATTATTATTTTATTTTTTTTTACCAATCGGTCTTCTCAAAATTTAAAAATATATTTTTTTTTAAAAAAAATTATTCCAAAATTTATTCTTTTTTTCGCGGAAAAAAAAAATTACGAAAAATTGCGGTGGAAATTCGATTCGGCTAATACTTAAAATATTCTGATTTTGATTGGACAAAAAAAAATATGAAATATTTATTTTATCCGCGTGTTTCTCGTCATCGCTGCTAGTCCGTCGAATCGCCACTTATCGAATTTTGATTATCAGCTGGAGGGAAAGCGGCAATATCTATTTTAATTAAATACTTATTCCTTTAGGAAAATTGGCCGAAAATTAATAATTTATATATTCCTACTCCTACTGAAATTAATTTTAAAAAAAAATATTAAAAAATATGTAAAATTTTAAGTTTCCCTTAAGAGGAAGGCTTTGTTAACAAATAAATCATCGACAAAATAATTATTTTTTGGGAGTGGGAGGGGCTTTTAAAGAGGTATTATTTTGAATGGCCGTTTGAAACATCTCCTAAAATTCCAATCACATTTTTAGATCCTTTTCCATTCCTTTATTCTTTTCTTTCATTTTTTTATTTTTTTTTTTGAAAATGTTTGTATTTCTTTTTATCCTAACTTCTTCTTTTTTTTTAAAAAAAAAATTTCTTATTTGCAAAAAAAAAATCTAGATTTTTACCCCAGGATGGGAACCGAATCTCTTATAAAAGGATTTTTTGAAAACTAGTTTTTAAATCTAATTTGCTCTTTATACGAAAAAAAATTTCTGACTCGTTTTAAATGAATGAATGAACCTTAAAACGTATCTCTATTCCTTGCTCTCTTTGTTCGATTCTACTATCCTCCTAACTAATCTGTTAGGGTTTTTACTTTTAACGTTTCCCTTTCGCCTAACACTTAACCGATCCATCTTCTCCGCTGCCCAAGGTTATCCCCCACAATCATCCGCTGAATCCATCCATCACCGCTCATCCACAAATTCCGAAGTATTAGGTATAAAAAAAAATAATAATATATATAATTCGTGTATAAATTTTTTTAAAAAATAAAATCTCATATCCAAAATTGATAACTTGTAAACTTTTGTGGAGTGGGCTCAACTCTATAATTATTCATTCATAGTTATCGCGAATTCGCGGCTAAGTGTAAACAAAAATAAATAAAATACGCTGTATTTTTTTGTTTACTTCCCCTAAAATTCGCGCCAACTGAATTGCTGGCTAAGGATCTTATTTTTTTCGATAACCGACAATCTCGTACTCCTTCCGTATTGGTATCATTAAATCACTGAATTTTGGCGAACGTCCGAAAAGAGTTAGCACAAGCTTTTATCCTAAAATATTCGTCCTCAATCTTCACAGGTTTTGTAAGTTCAGTTTGGGAGTCGGGTTTGATTAGGAGGTGAATTTTACAACACTACTCCTGATACTCGCGTTGTCTACAACCCAAAATTTTACTTTTTTCGAACATTTCTTTTTAAATCTTAATTCTCGCTTCCTATTCCGCGTAGATCTTTACCCCTTCCTATTTATTTATTTTAAAATTCTCTTTTGCATAATTTAATAAAAATATGTGTAAATTTTATTAGTTTATCTTAATGATGGGAAAGGATTAGAAAGAAAGAAAAATCATAATTTTTATGAACAATATGCTGCGGGAAATTTCTAAATTTTTTTCCGGAAATGTATTTTTAGCTTGTGGGAGAAAATCCCGTCTTTTTTTTGATATAACTTAGCATGGAACCTCTTGAACTAAACTCAAACGTTTAAGGGCGAAAAAAAATTTAAGAAATATATAGGGTGCGTATTCGAGATCTGCAAAAGTCTTAAAAAGTGAGAATCGATATGACTGAGTCGGGCTTAATATGTTTAAAAAGGAATTTGGGCTGGGTCTATTTTAAATAAGTTGGGAGTTATCGGTCCGAACAAATTTATTTTAAAAAAAACGCTTCTGCCGGGCTTAAAAATTAGACTCTCAATAAACAGAATAGCCACATGCTTAACAAATCCGTTATAATAGTGCGCACAAATTGGGCGTTTACGTTTTGCCGTTAATAACGTAACGCCTCCCTTGTTTAAATTTGAGGTTGCCTTTTTTTATTAATATCCGTCGTTTTAAATAAATTCTAAAAAAGGATTTGTCTTCGAAAATTATATTATCGTCTGCTTTCTTATTTTTAAATATTCCTTTTTAGGATATAAGTAAGTTATTTATATTACATTTTTATCAAGGATGTGAACCCTTTGACAAATAAAAGGGTTCGGTTTCGGGTACAGGAATAAAATTTAAGAAGGATCCGGTCCAGGGTTCAGGTCCTAGTTCTGGAAACATAAAAATAATGATTCTAAATAAAATTTATTTTTTTTCATTCATTTATTATTATACTTCAATATAATATACACATTTATAATTTACAAATGAAAAATTTTAAAATGAAAAAATTTATATTTTAAATGTTTTATTCAATAGCACAATCATAATATCTACTAAAATATCGTCTTTAAGATTTCCACGTAAATAAGATAATACATATATTTCAAGGATGAAAATTCACGTTCTACCCTTACCTAAAATAGATAGTTATTTTTATAATACATAAATTAATGTTCTTGCGTCGTCGGTATAACCATGACGATTCTAGATAAGATATATAATTCTAAATATATTGAAGAATTTTTCCCCAGAATTTTAAAATATTTGTAACCTTATTTATTCTCTTAACTTCTGAAAACTTTTCTATTAATGATGCAATAGGCAATTTTTGATCCTCCTTTCTATCTGATAATTTGATTTTTTATCTATCTAAAAGGAAAATTTCAAGATCATCAATGTTGCTATCATTATCATTTTCACTACAACCAGTAGGTATTGTCTTAGCCTCCAATATATTGTAAATAATGGAGTTTTGCGTGTGCCATAAATCCTTAAGATGGTCTTTAGCCATTTGTTTTTGCTCAATACTCAATAAAACTTGATATCGAGGGTCTAAATATATAGAAGCGTATTCAACACTATTGCAAATATTGTTGCTCTCAAATTTTCATGTTTTCTAATATTCCATATAAGAAGGACTGTAAATTTTTCTAAATCTAATCGGCATCTAATCCATATGTCATAAAAATCAAATAAACATAATTGTTCTGTTTTTATTTTAATCTTAATATTGTTATTTTTAAAGGTACTAATACAGTAAGGTCCTTTATTTGGCACTAATCATCTTCCGACAAAATGACATATAAAATCATTGCAGAAATCTTTCTAACTTAATAATCGTTCTAGCATCATACAAATTGAGGACCAACGTGTTGTGCATTAACATTTAAATGAAAATATTATTGCTTGCACTACAAAATAATTCTCTTTCAAAATAATCAACATATTTCAATAACTTAGCATATTATTAAATTTACATAATAAAATATTTTTACCTACACTAGAAAATAATTTATGATATCAATCTCTAAATAAAATGGAAGTCCAGGAAGAAAATTTAAAGAAAAACGCGAAGATAAAATAAATAATTCCACAAAAAAAGTTAATAAAATTTAAATTATTTTTAAAAAAATATTATCATTTTTAAAATTTTTTATGACACCTAGAACCTTTGGACCCTTCACTTTTAAAAAGGATCCGGGTTTTGGTACAGCAAAAATACGAGGGTTTAGGGTCCGGTTTCACATGCCTGATTTTTATAGAATATTACAAAACGAAGAATAAAAAGAGTAATGAAAAGGCAAACCTATTTGCGTTATTTTTAAATGCTTGCTAACGCCAAACGGTAATTTTAGATAAAAGGTACTTAGAAAGTCCATACCAAGAGGTACTCAACTACACAGGCTGGATTACATTTCCGGTCAAATAAGATTAGTTCCGGAAATGTAAAAATCATCCTTCCTGAGAGAATATTTCGTATCCCAATTTACATGACACATATATATAAATTATATTTTAAAACACTAAATAATTTTATGTTTATAAAAGTATGCGTTTTTGGAAAAAAAAATTTTTTTTTTAAAGTGTGATTTACTTTAATGGACCATTTTTTTCGCCTTGTCAATTTTGTCCACCACATATTTTCATGATTTTAAAAAAAAAATTAATAAATAAATGATGCTAACCAATTTTTATATTAATAACATGGGAGTGAGTAGGTTTTAGTATAATGGTTAATTCATTAAGTTTTTTTGTTGTCCGATTTCATCCATCTATTATTTTATGATTCATTATTAACTTTATTAGAAACTTCATATAGCAAGAAAAACAATTGGTTTATTTTTTTGCTTAAAGTTTAGGTTTAGTTTTGGATAAAATATTAAGAAAGTTTTTATTATTATTATTAATCAAGCATTTTTAAAGTTACTATCTTCTTTCTTTCTTTTTTTTCGTTTATTTTTATCTTATTTTGTTATTTTTTAAATATATTGATTTATGGGTTTTGACGAAAGATGGAATCACCATTAAAACCTGGAATACAAAATTTTTTTTGTTTTTAGTTTAGGTTTAGTTTTGGATAAAATATTATGAGAGTTTTTATTATTATGGATTAATCAAGCAATGTTTTTTTAAGTTACTTATTATACCAAGTATCTTCTTTCTTTTTTCATTTTTTTAGTTTATTTTTTTTAAATATATTGATTTATGGGTTTTGACGAAAGATGGAATCATGATTAAAACACTGGAATACAAAAAACGATACATTTTATATTATTATTGGTAGAATGTAATTTGGTGAAAGTAATTGAAAAAAATAAAATAAATAATGTTTTGTTGGTTTTTCGAATTTTAAAAAAATAAAATAAATTTGTGGACCAAGGGGAAGAGGATTAATCTTTTTCTAAATATTTTGAAACATAACTTTTGTTAGATTTGTTTTTATTTTGGAATATTTTATACAAAAAAATATGAATGGGGGGGGGGGGGATTAAGTAGTGTTGTTAAACGGCTCGTTTTGATTCGATTTTTAAAAAACGGCTAACTCAATATTTTAGCAAGAAAAAATATTGCCTGATATTTCGATAATATATGCCTAGAATAGACCTGTGCGCCGCCGGTATTTTTATTCACGCCAGAAAAGCCGCCGATTGAGATCTCCAGCGCGAGCCGGCTCGCCGCCAATTTTTATTATGGCGGCGGCGCGGCGTTTGTATTTTTTTAGAAAGCATATTAATTATATTTATATATTAAATTATTATTATTTTAATTTGAATACTAACATTAATTAAATTAAAACATGAATTGTATTCCTTTGCTATATATGATAGAATAGTGTATATTATTTACATTCATTCATACATAATATTTTATTTCCACAAACAATTCATATTAATTATTTTTATGGACTTGCACGTTTTAAACCACCCTATATACAATTATGAAATAACAACTCTCTCTACTAATCATAAATCAAGTTATGTATGGAGGTACTTTGGAAGTCTTATTTTGAAGAATGAAAATAAGAAAAGCACAATAATGCCTGATTATATATATTGCTTAAAATTGGCGAAAAAAGATGAGGAAGATTTAAATACATAATTCATTTTCACAGTAATTTATTTTTATTTTAGACTTTTATATATATTTTATATTTTAGTTATTAAATTTTTAGTAAGAATATAAGTGCAAGTAATCTTTCTCGGCACTTAGTTAATGTTCATAAAATATCAGAAAATATTAATAATGATAAATCCATTCAAAGTCTAAAAATGTTTTTAAAGCTAACACCAAGATGTAGCAACAATATAAAAGATAAAAAATGGCTCTTAGGTTATTATTATTGTTTATTATTATTCATTTAAAATTTTTACCGGTTTGTTAAATTAAAGCTTTTTTTTGAAAGTTCAAAACAACTTTGCCTTTTGAGATCTTTTTAATGTATAAACTTAATATATAATTTATTTAATTAATTATGTAAAACTTTATTTTAAAAGTTAAAACAAATTTATAATTTGTTTCATTCCAGCTCTAATTAAATTGATGTTTTTTAAAAATCTATT